CCCGTCTACAGCAGCCAGGGCTAATGTTAGCCCGTCTACAGCAGCCAGGGCTACCGTTAGCCAGTCTGCAGCAGCCCTCTCTCTGCATAGCCATGTGTGAAGTACCGCTGGCTCTGATGGAGAAATTTTTTTGTTTTGTTTGTGTTCATTCCCACGTTGAATAAAAAAAAGTCATAATTTATTATTATCTAGAGACTATTAATAACAGGAGATGAAATGCAGCTCCAGAGGAGCCGAGCGTGTGGTGATGTCATCAGTACGCTTCTGTTCCAATTGACCCATAATATAACTGCGTGCTCCCGTTCTCCCTGAGTCCACACTTTCCTGTGTTCTTCTCAAGAACATACTCAACACACGCAAGTCACAAGTCTGTACTTGCGTTTTTGTGAATTGATAAATCACCAGAAACTGGATGTAAATAAATACTGGTGGTAAAATCAGCCCAGTTTTACTTATCATATCGATAGCCATTGTTTTAAAATGATGTTAATACTGATATTTCATGCATCTCTAAAATATAGCATAAAAAGCCATGAAGCAGCTAGAGGAAGGAAAGTACGCAAAGGTGATCATTTGTTGGAAAATATTACTAGAATAGTTTTACAGTATCTGAAGTCAGAGCGATGTGTTTAATAAAATATAAAAACAGCCACAGACTCAGAACCTACTGAGAAAAACCCGGTAAAATGAAAGCATTGTGGTTGTAGGATCGTTAGTAGATTCTGGTTTAGGTTAGACTCCCAGCTGGATGCGCAGACACCTGGATGACGCTGTCGTTCATCGCTGTGTTGACTCCACCCCAAAGGTTCCTGATCAGCTTTGCTTCTCTACCAGGGGGGTGTCAGAGTCAGACCTACCACTATTTACAGGAAACTCCAGCAATAATATGGCAACTGTAATCATTTCTAATCTGAAATTCAACTAATGCCTGGAAGGATGCCAGCACTTTTATCTGCCGTATCCAAGCTAAGCCGACTTCAAACAGGATCCCATTCAATGATGATCTCAGCAGTCATTACAAATCACTAAATGTCTGGAGGTGATATTAGTCCTGTGCAAACACGGTCCCAGCATTGCACCTGAGTTCCCATCGTGAAGCAGGCAAGATGGAACAAAGCACAACAATTTCACATGTGGATGACAGAGTCAGCCCTTTCAGGCAGGCTGAGCCATAAAGTCAGCCGCCCCAAAGCTCACCATGATGCACAAGTCCTGGGATAAAGGAAAGCTTGGGAGGAACAAAGCTGGGAGATTTTGGTTCTCATGAATCCTCAGGTCAGCTGAGGGCTTTGGCTTATTTAGAAGAAGGCTATCTGAGAGAGGAGACAGCGTCTATAGATATTAGAACATAGAGCAACAATGGTTAACCTTTGACCTTTGAAACAGCCACAGAAGGCTAGTCGGCTGGACTAACAAATTATTTTAATACGTTCAACAAATTCAGCTGTTGGGGAATATTTTACGCACGTCATGGAATGCAAACCATACTTAGGACTTATTCAGCTAAGATAGTGATAGGCTGATATACGGTAGTATTAATTCCCTCTTCAATAGTATCAACAATGTCATTTCTCTGGCTAAACAAGAAATTCAAACCTTAGAGGGACCAAAGGTATCAGTCTGCATGCTTTGCCAGTTGTAAGTTTGCCAGGATTAGACTAAAAATCTAGGAAAGCCACAAAAACACATCATTTATGAGGCTGTGGGAAAAGTCAGGCAGTGATTTCTGCAGCCAGAGAGGACTGGCTGACTGCAGCCCATCAGGTGGATTCATGTGGCCCATGGGCTCAACAAATGCAAGTCCACAGAGTGACAGGAAACAGTTATTCTTCACATTTCAACTATTTCACTAGTATATCATTTTTAGCTTAGGTTCTTCTAAAGGTCACAGCTTCATCTGCATCAAAACCATTTTTATTTCAAACATATTACATCCACAGAACATCTAGCATGGTGCACTATACATTTTGCAGAAAAAATATATAGTATATTAATTGTTTTCAAATTTTGATGGATGCAAAATATTTAAATATTCATTTATGGGTACAAGAAAGGAAGGATTCTGTATGGATAGGGATTAGTGTTGCGATTATTGTTTTTGGCCCCGATACCCGATACCTGGCTGTGCAGTATCAGTCGATACCGATACCATCTGTTCGACATTGATGTGTGTATATATGAAGAACTGCATCCTACTTGGATGTAAAATAATTGCCATCATAGCTTTGTCAAGCTGCTGCCTACCTTTGTGAAGCAGGAAAAAGACTAAAACAAAGTGAATCCAGTAGAACTTTTTATTGCCTACCTGGAATGGGTGACAATAGTTGAATAAACTTTTGACTCTAAAATGGTATCTGTGCCCTATTTGTTGGTACTCGCCGATACCGATACCACCATTTTAGTGCTGGATCAAGGCCGCGCCTAATACTGGCATCGGTATCGGTGCAACCATAAAAGGGATAGAAGGTTAAATACACAGGAGACAAAGCTCAGGTGTTTCCAGATCCTAGTAGCTCTATGATAGAGCTGAGAGATGGCTTCTTAATAATTGAACTTTATTGATCTCACATTGGAGAAATTCCCCTCTGTATTTAACCCATCCCCTTGGGGAGCAGTGGGCTGCCATTGTGCAGCGCTTGGGGAGCATCGTGGGGTTGAGGGTCTTACTCAGGAACCCAGAGTGCAGGCTGTGGTGCTTGCAACCTTCTCAAAGCGAAAGCACACTGCTCTAACCACTAGGCCAACACTCCCCCAAATGCAACAGTTTTTTTTCTTAGCCTCATGTTCCTCAGATTCAAACCAAAAACAACTAATAAAACATCAGTGAAGCTTTTGGGTGCTAGTGCCAGCTTAACGAAGCAAAGGAACCCAGGGTGGATGTGGAAGTTATGGCTTTTCTTTTAAACTGGGTCAGTTAAAAGTTTGCTAGTGCTAACCATAGACATTATATGCATAGACGCCTCATTGGACCCTGTAGGCAGCGAGACCGACGTGCCTACAAGACGGCCATCTTGGATCGGACCTATCAGTCTATGTATATAATGTCTATATATGGTGCTAACCTATTGTTAGCATTAGCAACCAGGCTGAATGCATTGGCTACTACATCAGTGCTAATGCATTTTGGTTAGCAATGACTGTAAAAACAGACTTAGAAAACAATTGCTAAGAAAGTCTTAAAAAAAACTTTAGTAGCTAAAATGGGGGCAGCAAAAAAAAAAGTGTAAAGATTTTGACTGATTGTCGACCGACTGACCCTCTAGTATGAAATGAATTTAACTGTATTTTATTATACATTTTAATCTGCACAGGTCGTTAAAAATGAATTTCATCTTTCAAAACAACCGCATCCAAAATGGAGCTTTATGACAAATAAAGATTTTTTAAAGACGGTACATTTCACACAATCTGCAGTTGAAATTTTCAAGCTCCTATTATGTAAAATCTAACAAATAATAAAATGCAAACTGACATCAG